CCAAATTATTTTTTGAATGTATGAAATCTCATCATAATATATTTTCCTAAGCTTTTTGTGACATTTCTTTCTCGCATTTAACAATATTAGTTATTTAATATTAAAGGAGAAAAATGAATGTTCTTCAAAACTTAAGTGAATCTTCTATTTGATACACCTTTTCTCCATAACAAGATTTCTGATTTCACTGTGGCCATTCCCAGCATTTAATTATTCACTGTTGTTTATTCATTAGTGAAGATGATAGTTTTCTGCATGGACACATCCATCAAAAGGGCTCCTTGATACAAGTGTTTGTTCATGAAGCCCTACATTCTTTATTTGGCCTTTTATTAAAAAAAAATAAGTGATGCATACTTTTTTTTTTTTTTTTTTTAGCTGGGAGGGGTATTAGTGTCTAAATTTTGGGTACCCCAAATCAATCAAGGCAAAGGAAGTTATGGCACATCTGCTGTCTCCTACCTTCTGGCTTTTATTCCGGTCACATTAAAATAGAGTGTTCCTCCATATGAATGGATTTCTCATTAATATCATCTGGAGAGCTTGTCACAAAAGAGTTTCAAGCCCTACCCAAATTCAGACCCTTTGGAATTGGGTTTCTTTCTATCTCTTTTAAAATATATTTTTACTGATTTCAGAGAGGGAGGAAGAGAGAGAGAGAGAGAGCATCAATGAGAGAGAGAGAGAGCGAGAGGAGAGAGAGGAGAGAGAGAGAGAGCGAGAGAGAGAGAGAGCGAGAGAGAGAGAGAGCGAGAGAGAGAGAGAGCGAGAGAGAGAGAGAGCGAGAGAGAGAGAGAGAGAGAGAAATGGATTGCCTGTTTCCTTTGTATCTCACACTGGGGAACGAGCCAGAAACCTGGGCATGTGCCCTGACCCGATATCGAACTGTGACCTCCTGGTTCACAGGTCAACACTGAACCACAATGGCCAGGCTGGATTTCTAAGAATCTTTTTAGTTAAACTCCCAGATGATTCTTATACACCCTGAAGTTTGTGAATCACAGGCTAAATTTTTATCCTCTTCTAAATTCAAACAAAAGCAGAGACCCCTATAAGAATTGCCCTAGTGTACCTTAAACAAACCAAGAGGGTTGAGAGACTTTGCTTCTCTTCTGTCTCAAAGTGTTCTTTTTTTATATAACTTTCTTTCGATGTTTTGACAATGTTCAAACACACAGAAAAGCTATTGCTTTACCACAAGTCTATCCTTTTATCTATCTCTATTCATCAACCCATCTGATTTTTTAAAATAAATTTCATAGTAAATTTCAGATATCAGTAGTGTCTCATTTGGGATGGTGATGACTTCAAGAACAACAGGACAGTGAATCCTTGTAGCCTTGGCGAAAACACAGTGGCCTCATTTTATTGGACAGAATCAGTGGCTGCTTGGCCTCACAGCACATTTAGAATGCATATAATCAAAGGCAGAAGGATAGTTTTGGCTGGCTGTAGACAACCCCTGCAAAGTAATGTCTACTTGTTTCTATTCATTTGAATGAGAGCTTTTGTTTTGTTTCTGGAAGAAGAAAGGGAGGTTTGGGAGAGAAGATAAATGTGGAGGCAGGTGGCAGCAGTTACCCCTCCCCTCTTCCGTGGATTTTGAGTCCCTAATGGAAGGATGGGTTAGAAGTTGAGGTTTGCTGTCTTAATCACAAGATTCCAAGTACCTAGGCTTTCATCTCCACTGCCCCTGGATGTTTGATCTGGGATGTGATCCTCAGACTTTTGGCTTCACTTTTTTCATCTGTAAAATGGAAGTAATGATAGTACCTACATTATATTAACGTGGAGAAAATATGTGTGCCTCTCATGTAATTTAATCAGTTTCAGGTGCTAAAATATAATTACATTCCTTGATGAGTTTCCATAAATTCACAAAAAATTAACATGTGACTGCAGCAGCTGAACAAGAAAAATTAAACTAAATGTTGATGAATAAACCTAACATAAATTAAGAAATGCAGAAGGTAACATGCCTCAAAGTCCTTCCAGACAACCCATTTCACTTAAACTCAAGTTCAATTTCTTCACTTGCCCTTTAGGGTCCCCTATAGGCCCCTACATTACCTCCAATTTCATCTCCTCTCATTCTCCCTGGCTTAGTCTTCGGTTTCAGAATGAGCCAAGCTCATTTGGTTCTTAGGACCTGTGTACCTGCTATACCTGTGAAAGCCTCTCCCAAGATCTTTTTATTTCTCTCCCCCGATCTTTTGTTTATTTGTATTTTTAAATTGATTTTAGAGAGAGACAGAAAGAAACATTGATTTGTTCCACTTATTTATGCATTCATTGGTTGATTCTTGTACATTCCCAGCTGGGGATCGAACCCACAACCTTGGCCAGTGGAGCTGATGCTCTCAGCTGAGCAACCCAGCCTTTTAATATATTTTATTGATTTTTTACAGAGAGGAAGGGAGAGGGCTAGAGAGTTAGAAACATCAATGAGAGAGAAACATTGATTAGCGGCCTCCTGCACACCCCCTACTGGGGACGTGCCTGCAACCAAGGTATGTGAC